GAGAACACACAGCTGGAGCGAATGTCTCTACAGGTTGAGGGACTGTCTTAAGTAACCTATGATTTCTCCAACAGGTCTGAGCCTGTGGAAGATCATTGCTCTCATCCAATCAGCATCATATTTTTAGATTTATGACTATGCTCAAGGACGTTGTGGTGATTCAACATTTTTGAAAAACCTATTTATTGACTAACTGGCCAATAGGAGCCAAATGTGTTAAACATTTTCTTCAGTAGCGAAAGGCTCAAAATAAGCCGTACCTATGTTGTTGCTGGCCAGATTTTGTTGTGGTTCAAACACTGAAATCTATTGAAAAGTGTGCTTTTTTTTTAACAAGACCATCTGCTAAATAATTTCTTTTTAAATGTTATGGTCAACTAAGATAGTCGCAATACAAGCTGGATAAATTCCGGTTTTGTCATCTTTACTGGAAAGGAGTCAAAGGAACAACTGAGTGGGATGCAACTCTTCTTTGTTAGCTAGGGAGAGAGAAACAGACCTGGAGAACGACATGAACTCTACTCCCTAACCTTTGATATTTCTAATCATTTACTCTTTCAATACACTGTGTTGCTGCTGAATCAGGTTGTAATCTTCAAGGTATTGAATAGGATCATCCCACACATTGAATCGAAGGTTGAAGGAGGATAACATGTTCAGAACAAAGTTTAAATAAAATGTTCATAGTTGAAACACATATCCAGTGGTGAAGGTACCTGGTTGTAGAATTCCTGCAGCAGACAGTCCAACCAGGGCTCAGCCACCTCCATGGGCCGCGCCTCGTTGGAGATATCGCTCACTTTGATCAGGATCATCATCAGCTGCAAACACAACAGGACACAATTAGAAGCTATACATTCAATTGTAAAAGAAGCAGAGTTCTTATATTGAGACTTCAGCCACTGTTGAATACTGAACATATGACACAGGCTCAAAAGTCCTCTCACCACTTCTCTGTGCTCCTTGTTGGTGAAGTCAAAAGCTGTCAGGATGGACTTAAACTTGTTGAGAATCTCATTGTGCCTCGTCATGTCAGTGGCCAGGATGCATCTGAAATTAGAAGATAAATACTGTTGCTATCCTGAGGGAGCAAAATGTGGATTACTTAGAGAATCAGAGAGATGGACTCACTTGATGATCCCTTCCCTGATCCGCTTGTACTGATTCATGGACAGATTTCTGAAGATGTTGCTCTCTGTCTGAAAAATATGAGGTTCAGTTGATTGTCGCTGATAGTGGACAGACTCATCTGAGGGTGTCAGTTCCAATCACTAACCCTAAATGCACGATTCCATGCAGCTTGGACAGAGAGGTGTCATCCTTACCTTCTCCAGGATCTCAAAAGCTATGGCACAGTGGTGGTTCTCCAGTGGAGAGATGTCGTTGTACCGGAGAGCGAGTTCGGTCCGAGCATTTATCTGAAACAAGGCCATTACTTTAGACTTTAGGATTAACATTTAAAAACTTCTGTATGCATTGGTGCTGTAAGGGACAACACCATAACACATTTTAATGTTTTCTTTACACAACGTGAGAACTCAGTGTTCTTAAACTAAAAGAAGATTAGTGAAAATATGATTTGACAGCAAAAATGTCAAATACAACAGAAACTGTGTATGTGATGTCAACAGGTATAACTGTCCAACTTCAGCTATTAAAAGATACATTAAAAGATAAAAACAAGAATTTGTTAATGACATTTAAAACTCACAAATATACAAAGTAAGTTATTGGGCACTGTTTTTTCCCCCCCATTACAGCTGTTAAAATACGCCTTGTATAAGTCATCAAAAGTAGAAGACAGTACAAAATCCACGGTCTAGGTTCTGAGTTAAAAAAGGTCTAAAGTTTAGCTGAACCTACAATGAGGCTTCAGTAGTATGAATATCAAGTAGCAATCTCACTGTGTGTCAGGGAACATGCCTGCAGAAGCACAAAGAGTTAATGGAGGTACCTGATAGGCGTTGTTGTACCCGGCGTGGTCGAGGTCGTGGCACACCGCAGAGGTCAGCATGATGAGCAGGTCCTCGCTGTCCATCTTACTCTTCAGGTCCGTCAGCCAGATCAGACCGTACATCTGCTCAGAGGGCAAGAGATGTTGTCATGTACTGTGGGGGAAAGGCTGTCATTTGCCCTCATGAAAAGCTAAATTACTAATAGTTTGGAGTACTTGGGAGCAGTGAAATAAACACATTAGCCTCTTTCGCTTTTCAACCTGAAGAACTAGAAACCTTTTAAGGATACTTTTGTGTTTCTATTTCAGGGACAAGGGCCTTAACTAAAGTCCCTGGTCTATTCTTTCTAAAAGTTCAGGAACAGTTCTGACATTTCTGATTGAGGACGCCACCAACAGCCATGTAGAAACCTGCATCTCAGAGTGTCTATCAAGGTATTTGTGATGCCTTGACACCAGCACTGCTGTCAGTCATGTGAAAGTAAGAGCCTGGCAGAATGCTGCCCATATGTCAATTCATTTAGTTTAAGATGCTCCATATAGCTTATGGACAAGTGACCCCTTTTACATACAGTCGAAGAACAGAAGCACACAATTATGGTGTCATTTCTAATCTTCTTTTTGCCACTGCTTTGGCTTCTCAAACTCCTGAGAAAAGTATCTGGTGCTCGTCAAAGCTATTTTTTGATGAAGACGCCATCAAACCATCAGGGTGAAATAGCTGTCCTCTGATGTGAGTTCCTTCTCCACCTTGAACATGTCCTTCACCAAGTCAAAGGGATGATGGCATCATTTCACAATTTCATGATTACACACACAATCGGGCTCTCCCTAGTCTGTCCTTATGAAGTATCACTGCAACAGACACACACACTCACCATCTGGGTGACACAGAAGCAGTGCTTGAAGTTGTGGAAGGGGATGTTGTTGTATCTCCGGTACACCTCGAACAGGAAGTGCTGCAGGACCGCCGGCTCGATGTTGAAGGCTGCGATGAAATCCAAATCTGTGTACATGACCTGAAGGAGCACCATGATCTCTGCATCCTCCCACTGCCTGCACGCACACACACACACACACACACACACACACACACACACACACACACACACACACACACACACACAGACACACACACACACACAGACACACAGCTTGAGATGACTTGGACTGAATTAATTTAGATACTATCCTCATTGCAAGTTATATTGGCCACAATAATCGTATATAATATATTCTATGTTATTATACGAACAGGTATTCTGATCTATCAAGCCTAATTACCTACATACACTGTTTCACTGCAGGAAATATTCGAAATGTGTATAGCTGTAAACAGTCCCTAAAATGTGCACTGTTAACTTCTGTTTGAGTCACATTGTCTGAAAACAACAGTGCCGAGCTGGTGAGGGTATTGCTGACCCTTTAAAAGACACCTCTTGGCTACAGTCAGAGTAGGGAAGGCATGAAGTGTTCAAAAAGACAATAATGTAATACGATCAGCATTATTCTTCATAACACATCTTTGTCCACACAGCAGGAAGCAAAGAGAAGCATACTGTATTTGATTAGGGTATCAAAGGATTTATGATGATTATCTGTCACCCTGGTTTCTGTGCATAGCCTCAAAACCTCCACTGCCACCATTGTGGGTTTGGGTTAAAAGCTTTTGGAAAAATGGAACGATGTGCAGGCCTCAGTTGAATGCAACAGGCACTTCCTCCCCATGAAGCAACTTCAAACCCGGTTTGTTGATGAAGCCTTTTAAGACCTTTTGATTTGTATGGCGCTGCGGGCCTATTCATATTGAGATGAGTGTGATGATCAGAAGAAAGGCTGACGTCTCGTGTCCTCTTCAGTTCACAGCGGAGGTGCTTGAAGGGCACGACTGTCATTAGGCAAGTGTGTGTGTGTGTGTGTGTGTGTGTGTGTGTGTGTGTGTGTGTGTGTGTGTGTGTG